TTGCTACCTGTGAAGGTGTACAAACATGCTATTGCTACCTGTGAAGGTGTCCCCATGTGCTATTTCTACCTGTGAAGGTGTACCCATGTGCTGTTGCTACTGTGAAGGTGTACCCACGTGCTGTTGCTACCTGTGAAGGTGTCCCCACGTGCTATTTCTACCTGTGAAGGTGTACCCACATGCTATTTCTACCTGTGTAGGTGTACCCACATGCTATTTCTCCCTGTGAAGGTGTACCCACATGCTATTTCTACCTGTGTAGGTGTGCCCACATGATATTTCTACCTGTGAAAGTGTACCCACATGGTATTTCTACCTGTGAAGGTGTACCCACATGCTATTTCTACCTGTGAAGTTGTCCCCACATGCAATTTTTACCTGTGTAGGTGTGCCCACATGATATTTCTGCCTGTGAAGGTGTACCCACATACTAATTTTACCTGTGAAGGTGTCCCCACATGCTATTTTTACCTGTGTAGGTGTCCCCACTGTAGGAGATAAGCTCCCTTTGCTCAAGACATGGCAGTCCGCCTCAATGTGCTCCTTCAGGAGATTGTTTTTGGGAAGCATTTCCTTGAGGTTTGAGCTTCTGTAATATGCAGAGTGACTCGCCCTAGGAGGTGTGGAGAAACAGCCGAGGTGTAGGCTGGAGGATGGACAGACCAGTCTTGGAGCATTGGGTTCTATTCTCTGTCTTCCTCCCTCATTAGCATTATAATGTGTAACTTTACCTTGGGCAAGCGAGGACAGACAGCCAGGCTCCGTAATGTTTTACTTTAAACAAAATGAATTGTATAAGTGTTCCTCAGCCTTCACACTAAATTGTAATCTTAAATGGTAGCTTCCTAATGTTACTTCACCTCTTTGTATATGTGTTAAATTCTTACTGAATGTTGGAAAGTATATAAGGTAATCAGTAAAGTTTAGCTGGGCCGCCGACCCGAGCGAGTCCCGGTCTCCCTTGAATATTCATTCCATCTGCAGTTCTTTCCCCTGCGTCCCGGATCAGAAGCTCCAAAGAACATAACACCAAGACCCCACATGCTATTTCTACCTGTGTAGGTGTGCCCACATGCTATTTTTACCTATGTAGGTGTACCCACATGCTATTTCTCCCTGTGAAAGTGTACCCACATGCTATTTATACCCATGAAGGTGTGCCCACGTGCTATTTCTACCCATGAAGGTGTACCCACATGCAGTTGCTACCCGTGAAGGTATACCCATGTGCTATTTCTCCCTGTGAAGGTGTGCCCACATGCTATTTTTATCTGTATAGGTGTGCCCACATGATATTTCTGCCTGTGAAGGTGTGCCCACACACTATTTCTACGTGTGAGGGTGTACCCACATGCTATTTCTACCTGTGTAGGTGTGCCCACATGTTATTTCTACTTGTGAAGGTGTGTCCACACGCTATTTCTACCTGTGAAGGTGTCCCCACATGCTATTTCTACTT